TGAAGACAATGTGCCCAACATTACAATGGAAGAGGGGCGGGGGGGGGGGGTGTATAACCTACAGAAACTGTGTCTTTGAGCAGGCGAGAAAGAATGGGATTCAGTATAACTGGAAACTGGCCTTGCAATAGAGCATGGGCAATTTAACCACCGTTAACAGAAGGGACCAGAGAGTGTACTGTCACAAAGGTAGGCAGATATGATGACTGCTGTATGGCCTTAAGAAAAATCTCTTCAGATTTCCCCAGTTTAATGAGAATGGAAGAGAAGGCAATAGAAATTTAAGCAGAAAAAAGTAAATGCATGAAATAACATACAGTAACAGAGAACTATGACAGTTAACAGAGAACTGACAAGCATGCCATAGGTTGTCTTAAGGGTCCACTTGAGGGTCACAGTCATGAATTGCTACTAAATATTAGGGTGGGTGTGAAGATGTGTATACCCAAGCATAATGCTTTTTCCCAGCCACATCTACTATTCTCTTACTAGCTAGCATTAGTTTGACCTGCTGAAAGCTTTGTAACACCACTATTCTCCAATAAATTGAGATTCTGGAATAGTTACTTTCACCTTCAAAAGAAGCAATATATACACACACATTACTCTTCAATGGGTTAGTTTTACTAGATGAATTAGTAAATAAATACTTTATGACCTAAACAAACAAAAGCGTTTTGTGGTCCTGTATAGTTTGTAAGGGAAGTTAACGAGTTTACCTGAGGCTAGTACGTTTTGAGATGTCTGACCCAGAAGCAGTGAGGAGGGAAATCAGGACAAGCGGCAGGGGAGAGAGAAGGGAGCACTTGGATTCAGAGAACACTGGTGAAAAGACTGACACGACAGTCAATTATCCATTTTCCCTCTTCAACGTATCATTCCCTGCACACTGAATGGCTTTGTTTCTGAGACTCTGGAAAAGAAGGGTTAGCAGCTACTGCACACTAACAATTCAAGTTAGTTGTGATGCTTAAAGGCAATCAATTTTAAACCTCACAATATTAGAGATACCAGCCAAATGCAGCAGAAACACCACTTCCCTTACCTATTTCAGTTCCACTTCCTCCATCCTGAACGCTCCACAGGATAATGCTACTCTCTGAGGCAACAGCAACCATTTTATCTTTGTCCCCATGCGGACCTCCAACCACTTTGGCATTTAAAGCCACTCGTTCAATAGTCCACTCCAAATATGGGCTTGTAAACACTTGTTGCCATCCTGAAGATTCTTTGATTCTGTTGAGAAAAGAGAGACATAGAAACAAGAAGAAGCAGCAAGTAAGAATATAAATAAATGTAAGATACAAAGAGAAAACTGTAACCACATTAAGTATCAGAGAATCCATTGAGAATCTCAGTGACTTAATTCCTGCACCAGCTTCGCAATCACTGCTATGGTTCTTCCAAGACAGCTGTACACATTCCACTACTCTCTATAGTCCATACTTTTTAGTTCAGTACTCCTTGCTAACATCACCATTAAAATATATCCTCCACGTTTTTCCTGTCTGCTTTATCCACTGCCCAGCTTTCATATGCAAATGGGGTGACGTGGGTCAAACAAAACCAAACCCTCTGCCACGGAGCAGACGCACACTCATGGGGACCCTGTGGGACAGGGTGGGAGCACGCCTGTGCGTTTCTGAGACTGGTAACTCTTAATGCCAATAAAAAAGCCCCATTTTTCCCCACACACTATGTGACCGGGCACACCTTGATCCTCCAAGTGATATGTGTGCTTTATTAACACTTTAAAGAGTTCTCTGGCAGCAGATGGGCCCACTGCAACCTGCCACTTGATTGACTGACTGGAGTACTGAGTACTGAGTGCAAATCCAAGTGCAAGTCCACAGGTACTGCGTGCAAATCCAAGTGAAATGAAATCTTTGACAGCTCCAGTATTTTCTCCCTCTATTATGTTGTTGGCACTAGTCCATCTGTGAGAGTTTTTGTTGTCTTTGTGAATTAAGGTATAATTCATACTAAAGGATGTAGTCTCTGATTTGGATCAGTAAGTGTGTCAAGTCTTCGCTTTCAGCGAGCAAAGGTGTGTCACCTGCATTTGCCGGTTGTAAAATGAGCCCTCCTGTCATCCGAGGCTTCCTTCTTCTAGGCCGGCTTCTCTAATTGTGTGCTCAGAATCTAGCTTGAATAAATATGGTAAAGAGATACAACCGTGACACGCATCTTTCCCGATTTGGAACAACACAGTACTCTTGTTCTCTTCGAACAACTGCCTCTTGGTGTTCGCATATGTTCTGCAAGAGTATAATTAGGTGTTGTGGAGCTCCATTCTTCTGTGTGATCCAGAATTTGCTGTGATCCAGAGCTGAGTGCCTTGGTGTTATGAATAAAACACAAACATCTTTCTGGATATTTCTTTCAGCCAGGATCCACTGACAGCAGCAATGATAGTCCTTGTTCCACAACCTCTTTTCGACCTGGGTTAAATTTATGACACCTCTTTGATGTTCCTGCCACTGCAGCCATTTTTATGTTACCGTCAGCATTCTTTACTTGCATAGGGTATTAATGTTAATGCTCAAGAATTTTCAAACTCTGTGGGGTCACCTTCCTTTTGAATGGCACAGAGGAATCTCTTCCAGCAGGCTGGGCAGGTAAGCCATCTTCCAAATTTCTTAGCAAAAACAAGTAATCACTTCCAGGATTGCATCTATTTGCTAAAACATCTCAGTAGTTATTCTGTAAACTATTGGAGACATTTTCCACCAGTGCCTTCGTGGTTTGAACTTCTTCCATCAATACCCTTGGTTCTTATCATATGGCACCTCCTACAATGGTTGACGAGGGACTAGGGGTTTTGGTGCAGTAACTGTGCTCCTAACATCTTTCCTCGATGCTTCCTGGGTCAGTCAACTTTTTGCCCGTATAATGTCAGGATGGCACCTCCAGGGTTTTTTCACTCAGCCTTTTCAACTTGAGAAATTCCAAGTGAGTTCTTCCTTCTTAGAACACACGTGACATAATATTTCCTTCAAATCTTCTGTTCAGTTATCTTCTTAATTTCCTCCATTTGCTTCTTCAACTTCTCTACCTTGAGAACAAGTTTTAGAGTCTCTTCAGAAATGCTTTGGTCTTTTCTTGTTTTTTAATAACCTTTTGCTTTCTTCGTGTATGATGTCTTTTATGTCATCTCAAAACTCACCTACTCTTTGATCATTAGTATTCAGTGTAGTAACTCTGTCCTTAAGATGATCTCCAAATGTAGGAGGGATGAGTTGAAGTTCACATTTTGGCTCCCGAACACTTGTTTTAATTTTCTTCAGTTTCAATTGGAACTTGCTTAAGAGCAATTGATGGTCTTTTCTGCAGCTGGCCCCAGGCCTTATACTGACTTATATTGCACTTCTACATCAGTCATCTCTTTCCACAGATGCAGTTTACTTGATTCCTGCACATTTCATCTGATGAGGTGGATTCTACTGCCAAGGCTGTATCTTCTAACTCTTCATCTTTGTTTCCAACGTTCACATTCCAATCACCAGTAAGCATCAATGCATCTTGACTGCATCATTTGACTAATTTCAAACAGAAGCTGGTAAAAATCTTAAATTTCTTATCTTTGGCAATAGAGGTTGATGTGTATATTTGAATAATAGTCACATTAACTAGGCCTCCTTATAGGTGTTATTACTGACAGTGTTGTACTTCAAGACAGATAGTGAACTGTTGAAATCCTTTCTGATGATGAAGACAATGCCAGTCCTTTTCCATTCATCTGTCCCAGCACAGTAGACCATGGTTGTCAAATTCTCAATAGTCAACACCAGTGATAACACTTCAGCTTCGTGTTAGCTGGAATGTGTATGCTAAAGAAATACAAGGAGCCCTGGTGGTATAGTGGTTACACATTGGACTGTGATCCACCTGGTTGAAAGTTCAAAACCACCAGCAGCTCCACAGGATAAAAGACTGGGCTTTCTATTCCCATGAACAGTTACACGCTTGGAAACCCACAAGGGATCAGTATGAGTCAGCCATCACTCAATGACAGCATTGGTTCTGATTTTAATGTAATAAAACTCTAATTAAAAAAATTGAGTCTTCATATTAATTTGAAGACCTAACAATTTGTCTACTTAAACGGTAAGGTAATACAGAGAAAACTCTATTCAGTGTTTCCAACGCACTATATGGTTTGTAATTACCCTTCTCAGCCACCAGATGGAATTCATGTGTTAAGATAATCAAATAGAGATAATTATAAACAAGCTCTTAAAATAGACATTGAGAAACAGCAGACAAACACTTTTCTAGTGACTGTCACACTGATACTGTCAGTACTTTGGGAATAGTGCCAACATGCGGCATTATTTGTGCACATGCACATACATATACTAATTCCATAGAGAGCTGATGAATGATGTGAATGATGTAATTTGGTAATCATTTATTGGGGAATATAAATAATACGATGTGATCTAATATGCTGCAGAGAATGTGCATCTAGGTTATTTTTCTTTTTAGCAAGTATTGTATTATAAAGAGTTGCCAAAAAGTTAAAAGATTGAGCGCAGCATTATTTGAAAATTATATAATCACAGAAAGTGCTTATAATCATAGAAGTAAGATGTGTGACCAATATAGAGTCATATTCTGGTAGGCTCAAGAGCCCAAATCTGGTATTTACATATAAAAAATTAATAGGACTCACCATCAATAATCCTGTCTTCAGTAATTTAATATAATAATTCACTGATTTAGAAGCTAAAGAAAAATAAATAAGGAGTAACATCAAGACTTCTCAATTGCATCTCAGTTTTTAAGTCTAGGAAATATTTAAGACCTATAAGGTTATCAGCAATATTTACCTAGTTAGCTGTGAAAATACAGGAAAAGAAATTTGATAATTCAGAGAAACAGCTCTAAAAACATAAAATATTTAAAAGACTATTTTGTTTACTAAGTACAAATGAGTCCATTTCAAATCATAGCGATCCCACGTTACAAAGTAAAACTGGTGCAAAACAAACTCCAGGAAAATCCAAATCAAACGGCTATGTTATTAAGTACCTGTAACACACAGCAAAGTGAGCGTACGCAGCTACAATCCAGTTGTGATGGCCAGCTACTATTAGCACCTTTCGTGGATCCACAGGAAATCCTATTTATTTTAGAAAAAGACATTTATGTTTTAAAGTCAGGACAGGGAAACTGCACCTATTGGTCCATTTTAATTTCCGATTTTAGTAAACCAAGTCTAACTGGGCTACAGACACACTCCTTTGGTTATCTATTGTCCATGGCGGCTGTGGTGGTAGAATGACAGATTTGTCGTGGCAGAGACTGTATGGCCCACAAAGTCTACAATGTTTATTACCTGGCTCTTCAAAGAAAAAGCTTTGCCAGTCCTAGTTTAAGGATGCAGAACAAATAAAAGCAAGAGCCCATGCATTTTAAATAAAAATGATAGGTTAAATGGCACTTTTCAAGATACAAACGGTTAAGTCTGGACTTACAATGACCACTTCTGTAAATTTACCCCTTATCCCCTACAGTTAAAATCATATGGATGTTTCTTCACAGATTTAGGCCATCAGTGCTTACCTAGTCTGACAGTCTCTTCTCCAGGGCCAGAGAGAACAGGCTGGGTACCATTTCCTCGGGCTTCACCTTCCGCAGAATTTAGTCCATTTCTAGAATCAGCAGAGGCTCTAGCTGTGTTGTTTATTTTACGACTAGGAATACCTATAAAGGGAAAATAATACAAATTTATTTCCAAATTCAAACACACACAAAAATCAAATTTTAAGTATGGAATATAAAAATATGAACTGCATTATAGCCAAAATACAACTACCAATACAGCATATTACTGAAAATAATTGCCAGAAAAACAAAATTAAAAGAATTCAACAGATGTCTGATACTTACATTAACTATGATAGTAAATAGATTACAATGTATCCTATTACACCCCATGTTCCCCCAGCTTGAACGCTCGTTGAACTAAAATTCTGGTGAAATGAGTTCCTGTATGCCACCTTTCTCTGTGGTTGGTGGGAAAACAGCTTGGACAGTTTCCCACTAAGCCCTGAGGACTTCCTGTTGCCGTTGTTCTTTGCAGAAGCAACCTCAGGGAAAGGGGAGGAGTGGTGGTTTGAAGAGGTGAGCAGGGAGCCTCTCAGGTTTTCTACCTCAGAGACTGCTACTTTTGCCCAAGTTGACTGACATTTATTTGCTGAGTAAATTGTGAACAGTTTATAACACTGTCAGTACCTGGTCTGCTCTGTAATTGGTTTATTTACTATGCAAACAGTGGTGCATAAAACCACCCAAAAGGATTGAGTTGTGATCTACTGAAGGGATTGGTCGGGTGGTGGTTCTGTTTAAAGGGCCGTGCTTTGAAATTGACAGGAGTTTGCTTATCTAAGCAGCCAACCCCAGAGGTTTTTAGAGGTAAGAGAGGCCAAAAGACAAAATTAGCAGAGAGTGAGAACATCCTAAAAGCTATATAAGGGCCACAGGTTGTATCTCTGAAGATGGCAAGAAGCTTGGAAGGAGCCAGCGGCAAAGATGACAGAGAGCGGCTCTAATCCAGAACAGCCGAGCAAGCTGCTACACTGGAGGCCAATGCACAGGAGGCTGTGCAGCTGGGAAGGGATTGTGTGCTTACAAGGCCAGCAGAAGATGAGAGAGCTGTCCTGAGATGTGCTCTCTGCCTCAGGGAAGTCTTCCAACTGGCCTATCGGCTTCCTGATCCTAAAAGGGTTCCTGATCTTTCCAAGTTGATCCTGATCCTGAGTTGTTACCAGTTACTTCCCTAATAAAGCACATAACTTTGAGTGTGGTCTCTGAGTTCTGCATGGCCACTACGACAAATTGCCAAATGTAGCAGGGAAGTAGGGAGTGTTATGGGGTAACAGCTTGTCTCAGAAACAGCGAAGAAGCAGTAAAGTGTAGGTGTCTGACCTCCCCCTCAGAGGAACCAGCTTTGTGCTGATCCTGATTCTTCTCCTGACTCAGGAATTTAGAAAAGTCACTGTGCTAGATTCCAAAACCAACCCGTCCGTCAGCCAGACTTTACACTTACGGGACAGGTTCTGCATGCCATGTGGCAACCAAAGTGCTTTAGAGGTGAACTCCTTGTACTTTCAAACATTTTATTTGGCACAGGAGGATTTTTTGGAAAGGAAATCTTCAGAAGTCCAATAAAGCACAGATCAAGGCAGGATCTTCAAACACACAGAAAATGACATGAGTCTTGCCTGTCCTCATTCCAGATCCGGACAAATCTCTGCAGAACTCCTACGGCTCTCCAGTGAGGAGTCTGAAAGCCTATATCTCATCTCAGGAGTCAGGAAACCACGTGTCACGGTAAGCCAAGTCCAATGGCTGATCTTGTAAATAAAGTCGTGTTGGCACAGCGATGCCCAGAGGTTTACACAGAGAACTGTAGCCTGAAAATATATCTGGCTCTCTATAGGAAAGGATTGCCAAACCCCTGTTCCAACATTGTAACTTAATTTCTTTTATCATCGGAGTTTTCATCATGGCTATTAAACAAGAAAGCCAATGTTGTTGTATATATGCTTATACTTTCTTAATGTTGAAAGCGACATGTAAAAGGGAGGAAGGAAAACACAAGCAGTACCTGGTGGCGGCAAATACCCATGGAAGAGGACACTGCCACAGGACGAGCGCTCGAGTTCTTCACACAGGAGGAGCCTTCTGACTAAAACAGTCCAAGCAAACTTGTCAAGTCATGCAAACAGCACCCCATTTACAGTTTCTCTAGTTAAACAGCGTATGGGACAAAAAAAGAGATATTTACATTAGCCCAGAGTTGACAGTATCTTTTTAATATGAAAATCTACACAAACTAAGCAATGAATTATGCCATCAAAATTGAGGGCCTGTTAGAAAACACATTTCTTTCGGGCAAGCTTGGCTCATGAAAGGAAAGGTCAAATCACACATATAAAAGATGCGTAAACACATACCTAATGGAGTAATTCCATAAAATTCTGCTTCGTGCCTGAGAACATTAATACTCACTCCCCTTCAAAGAAACAAACAAATGATTTAAATTCTCCAACACTGGTAACCTGGGTTATCATCTAAAGCAAAAGGAAAAAGTACTAAGTTCTTAATGTGAACACTTATCAGGCTTTGAAACTTATTTTTTAGTTCATAATATCCTTTATTTTTGATGTGCTTATTATTTGAAAAGTCTAAATGAAAACTGCATGAAAACAAAAATATTTTCTCAGGTACTTAAAAACCAGTCATCTATAAAGGAACTGTCTGACCAAACAAGAGACGAGGACTTCTAAAAGGTTAGTACAGGTAAAGTACCAGGAAGTGTTCGATAAGGCAAGAGGACAAATTATTTTATAATAAGAATAGCTCTTAATGTTTTATAATTATTTTTTACATATTTTAACCTCTCCAATTAAGGGTGATCCATTTCTGATCTATCTGTGCATATGTGATACAGTGCCTTGCACACTTAGCAGTTATACAATTAATATTCATTGGATGGGTAAATTCAGACATATTGCCCTGTCTCATCAGAACTAAAAATTAAAATGGAATCTAAAGCGGGGATGGGGTGGGGTGGGGTGGGGTAGGGTGGGGGCATCTTTAGGAAGGCTATGTTACCCAGATGAACATGATACTCTACACAGCAGTACTGGTACGTAACGTGAGAATGAAAAGTATAAGAAAGAATAAGAGCTTAAAATATCAATGATTCGTCTGAGGTTTCTTTAAAGAGACTCTCTGGTTTTAATAGACACACCAATCGCGATCAAACTGCTTATATTTGTGGGATTGTGACTGACTTAAGAATGGTTCATGTTTTCTCTTTTTTGCTATTCAAAAGCATTTATGGCAATCGCAGGAAGTACTGGCTAATTATAAGGTGTCTCAGATCTCAAATAATAGTTGTTGAATGCAGGTTCAGGGGGAGCATAGGCATACGAGAATGGTATAATTACGATACAGTGTGTATTAAGGCCAATACAGTCATTTTCTGAAAGGATCACAATTCGAATATTTGTTTAAAAACATTTTAAAACATGGTTCTCCCTTTTGGAAGATAGCACATAGGATTTAAATAATAATATCTCCTAAACTGTCAAGTGAAATACGGCATTTTTTTTTTTTTAAGTAAACCCAGATGTTTCAATGATTTGCATTTTGTGGGTGACCTAGCTATAGATTAATCACAACCTTCTGCAAGTAAAGTTAGGCTTCTTTGAAATGAAATCAAACGAAATCGGTAAAAATAAGTACCAAAAAGTAGTTAATAATGCAGTTCCTACTGCCTCCTAAAATCAGGTCAGAAAGCAAAAAAAAAAGCTCATAAGCTCTTTTATTCATTCAATGAATACAATAAAAATACTAAGCACCTACTACATGTACCGAGGATTACCAAAAAAACAAAAACAAAAGCAAAAAAAAAACCCACACAGCCCCTGTGGGTTTCCTCTTTATGGGAATAGAAAGTCCCATCTTTCACACATGGAGTGATGGGTTTGAACTGCTGACCCTGCAGTTAGAAGCCCAACAAGTAATCAGTATTCCACCAGGGCTTGTACTAGGACTACAGCAGGGAAAAAAGAGTTCAAGGTAACTTTTCCCTAAAGAAATAAAAAATCATACAATGTTATGAAATGGTAGTTTAAAAAAAAAACAATTCTTATAGTTTGGGCTAAAAAAATAAAAATAGAACTTTAGTGAAGTTCATCAGGAACATAAAATTTAAAGGGGCCATAAGGAATTTAATTAAAGCATTTATGTTAGAACTGAGCAAATTTAAGGGCTAGTTTAAATGACCAAGCATTTATTAAAAGAACGGAAACAAAAGGAGGAGCACCGGACACCTACTCTCATGGAGCCCAAGGAAAGAGCAGGGGATAGCAGGCAATCAGGAGGTGCTCGTTTGGATCTTAAAGCCGACTGAGATGAAAATAAAATAAACCTTTCACCAAACCTGGGCTATCAAGTCAATTCCAAATCATGGTCACCCCACGGGTCAGAGAATAACTGATAGTATTTCCAGGGCTGGTAGTAGCTAAAAACTCAACTGCTAAACAGAAGGCCAGCCGTGAAAACATCCCATAGTCTGCATTCACAAAGGTTAGTCTTGAAAACACTAGCGGGCAGTTCTGCTCACCGCTATCTGGTCACTGAATCAAAGTCGGCTCAATGGTATCGTGCTTTGTGGCTGGTGATGTTTGCATGTTTACAGAAGCGGGTTACCACATCTTTCTCCTTTAAGAGTGACAGGTAGGTTCGAACTGCCAAATTTTCAGTTAGGAGTCAAGCACTAAAACCATATTATCACCATGGGTCCTTGGTGAGAAGAAAACTACAAATGCTGCAACTCATAGAGCCCCCACGAAACAAAGGAGAGCACCCCATAGTCTTTCCTGGCTGGTTCTTTATGGAAACAGACTGATTACAGTCTTTCTCTTGGGAAACCACTGGGTACTCACTACTCTTTGGGTTGACAGCCCAGTGCTTACCATTGCACTACCAGGCATTGATATGAGTAACAGTGATTCCGTGGCAGAAAACAACAACAACAAAGAGAGTCCTAGGCAGACAGAATGCTGTGAAAGTGGCAGTACTGAAAACATTGAATATTCGGTGAACAGAGAAGAGATCAAAGGGGAAATTATGTTTAAACACAGCCCCCAAAAGGCTACAGGCTAAAATTTTAAAGTATAAGAAAATAAGCAATGATCAGATTATAAAGTTTTAAAAAGTGAGAAAACGTCCAAAATTCTAAGAGAAAGTGGTTTTAAGTGAATGAATATTTGTTGTGCTGTGCTGGCGTGTGTTTTACTGTGATGCTGGAAGCTCTGTCACTGGTATTTCAACTACCAGCAGGGTCACCCGAAAGTGAACCAATTTCAGCGGAGCTTTCGAACTAAGAACAGACTGGGAATAAGGAACAGGCGTCCGCTGGTAAGGAACTGGTCACTGAAAACGTCACAAAGCGCATTGGGGCCTGTTAGATACTGAGAAGCTAATGGATAGGAGCAGCACATTATCAGAGATTGGACTGGCAACGAGCCCCTCAGGAAAGAAGGCACTCAACCTATGACTGTGGAAGAACTGTCTTCTCAAAGTATATTTGACCACAGTGATGTAAATAAGCCTGCAGAATTAGACCAGGGCCTTCAGTTGCCGATGGGACACTATTCAAGAGAAGAAACAAAATGAGAAGAAACAGCTGCAATCATCTACTCCTATTCGCTTCTTGGAGTGTATGAAGTATGAATCTAGGAAAATTGGAAGTCATCAAAAATGGGATGGAACACACAAAGACCAAAATAGTGGGCATTAGTTGAGCTGACATGGACTGGTCGTGGCCATTTGAATCCGAAAGGCATAATGTTTAAATCAAAGACTCACAAGGAACGGCAATGCATTCGATGTAAAATATGGACATCTCAAGACCCTATACAAGGAAATCTAGCCAACTCAACTGTTTCAAATGTATGCACCAACCACTAGAGCTCATGATGAAGAAGCTGAAATTTTTAATATTATCTTCAGTCTACATTGATCAAACACACAATCACGAGGCACTGATAATTACTGGTGATTGGAATGCAAAAGTCAGAGACAAAGAGGAAGGAACAATACATGGAAAATATGGGCTTGATGCTAGCAATAAAGCTGGAGATCAAATAAAATTTTACAAGACCAGCAGCTTCTTCATCAAAAATATCTTTCTTCGACAACACAAATGGTAACTAGATATATGGACTTCTCCAGATGAAATACACAGAAATCAAATTGATTTGGTTTGATTTGACAAAATCAAATCTGTGGGAAGAGACCTTGGAGCAGCTCGATCTCAGCTCTCAATTTCTCCTATGTAAGTTCAGTTTGGAGCTGAGAAACCTAAAACCAGGTATGCCCACAAGAATAAAAATATTACCTTAAGTCCATCACCTGAAGTTCAAGAACAGATTTGAGGCACTGAACACTAATGACAGAAGACCTGGTAAGCTGTGGGAGATATCAAGAACATCAAATATGAAGAAAGCAATAGGTCATTAAGCCAGGAAAGAAAGAAAATCCCAAAGAGACTCTTAAACTTGCGGTTAATCATAGGTAGTTAAGGCAAATGGACAAAATGATGAAGTCCAACACTGGACTCAAGCATAAGTCAAGAGCTGAAAAGAAAATTTCAAAGACAGAGCAAAACATTAAAATCAAATGTGCAGAAAACCAGAGTAAAAAACCAAAAAGGAAGATGCTCATCAAATCTTAAACTGGAAGAACGCAAGAGAAACTCCAAGCCTCGTGTTGTAATATTGAAAGGTTCTATGGGACAAATATTGTATTATGCAGAAAACATCAACAGAAGAGGGAAAAAATATAGAGTCACTATACCAAAAAGAACTAGTTAACATTCCACCATTTCAAGAAGTAACATGTTAACAAGAACCAACAGTACGAAAGGAAGACGTTCAAGCCAACAAGAGCACATTAGACAAAACCAAGGCCCAAGAATGGATGGAATACCATCTGAAATGTTTCAACAAGCTGATAAAGGGCTGGAAGCACTCACTTGTCTATGCCAAGAAATTTGGAAGACAGCTACCTGGCCAACTGACTGGAAGAGATCCATATTTGTTCCTATTCCAAAGAAAGGTGACCCTCCGAAAATGCTCAAATTACAGAACAATTCCATTGATAGCACATGCAAGTAAAATTTTGCTGAAGCTCAACTAACAGCTGTTCCATCAGTACACTGACAAGGAGCTGCCAAAAAGTCACACCGGATTCAGAGAAGGTCATGGAACAAAGAATATCATTGCAGATGAATCTTGGCTGAAAGCAGAGAATACCAGAAAGATGTTTACTTGTGTTTTATTGACTGTGCTGATGCATTCAACTGTGTGGATAACAAAATAAGGATAATCTCGAAAAGAGAGGAAATTCCGGAATACTTCATTGTGTTCATTAAGAACTTGTACTTGGATCAAGAGGCCGCTGTGCAAACTGAGTAAGGGAATACTGCATGGTTTCAAATCGGGAAAGGTGTGGGTCAGGGTTGTAACGTCTCATCATACTAATTTAATTTAATTTAATTGTATGCTGTGCAAATAATCAGAGAATTTGGCATCAGGGTTGGGGGAAGGCTTATTCAAAAACCTCGCTTGCTGATAGTGAGAAGGACTTAAAACACTTGCTAAAGAAGATCAAGGATTGAAGCCTTCAGTTTGAATACACACACACACAACCCTCATAACTGGATCCATAGATAACATATTAAAAATGGAGAAAAGATTACTGTTGTCAAAGATTTTGTCTTGCTTAGATCCATAATCAATACTCATGGAAGCAGCAGTCAAAAGCTCAAAGGGTGCATTGCTTTGGGCAAATCTGCTACACAAGCCCTTTTTAAAGTGTTGCAGCAAGGAGGTTACTTTGAAGAAGAGTGCATCGGAACCAAGCCATGCTGGAGTAGTAGGGTATGCATTGGGCTGCTAAATGAAAAGTCAGCAGTTCAAAACCACCAACGCTTCTGTAGCAGAAATATGAGGCTTTCTACTCCTGTAAAGAATGAGCATCTCAGAAAGCCACAGAGGCAGTTAGTTCTACCTTACCCTATAGCATCACTAGGGTTCAGAATCGACTTGATGGCAATGAGTTCAGGGGGAGAAAGGATGGTGGCTGCTATCTACACAAGTTTTGTTCTGAGGGAATTTTCATCCTAAATTATATCAAAAATATATATCTATCAATAAGAACTTACTTTAAAAGGATGTACTTCTTACCTTAAGTCTAGTTCTTTTGTCCGAAGAAAATTTAAAATAGGTGCAAATGCTGCTGGATCCCTGTCAATAAATATCTGTAAATGAAGAATTGTTTTTATTCTCCAATTACAAATTAAACACAAAGTCTAAATTTTTTAAAGACTCTATTTTCTGGATTCCACATTTCACATTCTGATGTTTCTAAAATCGGGATGCAGTTTATAACTATGTGTATTTAATGTGGTAATGTCTTTTATTTCCCTGGAAAATCTATTATTAAAACAACACACGGCATTTAATATGTAGCAATATAGTAGCTATTAATTCAGTTTTCCCACTTCTGTTTAATATTCTTTGTAATCTTAAAAATCAAACGTGAGGGAATTTTTAAAATCTGAATTATATTATAGAATCAAATAAATTCTTTAAAAACACTGCATAAACAATGCTTTCTTAGCATTGTCAAACTATTAATTAATGAGAGCAAATATGAGTTATGTAACTTGAGATTTGTATGTGAACAATTTAAACAGTAAACTTTAATGCACACAAGGCAATAACAAAAAATACTGCACCCTACTGTCAAAACTGGAAAAAAATATTCTTTTCAAAATACAAAAAGAGTAAATTATTCATCATGACCCTAATAGAATGATACTGGAATCTACTACATTGATTCCCTAAAGGCTAGGGTGGAAAAATAACCAAACCTTTTCAAAGGTCCATATGATAAAGAAGGGAGAAACGGAATGGCTGAACCTGTTTTAGCATCAAAACTTCTATTTGAAAGGGAGTGCTGCAATGGAATGGAGGGTTCAGCTGCTAGCCAAAAGGCCGAGGGTTCAAAGGTCCACACATTGGAGCCTCTGATGGCTGGTGATCGACTTATAAAAAATTATCCATGATGCTGTAACACACATGGCACCATACTGAGTCATAATAACCTCAGTAACTACTTTTAAGATTGTTAACTTTGGTCAAACTTGAATGAATATAGCATTACAAAAAAAAGCATTACAATGTGCAATGCTATAAAGAACCAATTTTGTAGTTATCTTTTAATTCAATGAAGAAAGGATCTCTTTTCCATAAACTGAAGAATTTTAATCACTTACCAGCCAGTTATCCTTTATGTTTTCCAATTGCACATATTGTTCTTGTTCTCAGTCAAATGAGTTTCACTGAAAACCCACGTCTTACACAATGCATGTTATAGTCATATAGGCTACTTTTAGCAAGGCACAAGTAAAAGTTTTTCACAAGTGCTATGCTATGAATAAAAATAATATATGGTGAAAACCATATGAACTAAATCCCATTTTCCCAATAAAATATCTAAATAATCTAGATGAATGAGTAACTCTGAGTGAAATACATAATTAACTTTTGCCAAGAATGTACATCAACATTATTTGCAATCAATCACAAATAAAATATAAAAGTTTTTATAAGACATGGGAAATGTCACAAGTAATAAAACTCTTTATGTCAGCATTAATCGTGAATATACATTGACAACTGCTCAACCAGGGTCCTAAATTCTAGCTTTTGAAGAAGCAGCCCAATGTTTTATTACTGATGTCTTTTTGATAGAGAATACGATTTTTGCTACTTGATTGCATCTGGAAACTTGATCATAGCACACCATTTGTTACTTAGCTGATTTCAAATAGACGCTTTATGTTTTTGTGAGCAGCCACTATCATTGACCCTAGCCATTTTACTTTACATCCTGCCGTGCAAACTGGGCATTCCTTCACTCCACCATTGCTGCACACGTTTATATTATTCTCCTAAGTAAAAAAATAGGCCTTTGTGAATTTAAACATTTACTATTCTAATTCATTGTTTTTAAAATGTAGTATTATATATTCATCTATCTTTTTGTTAATGGTGTCCTGGTTGCACAAGGGTTAAACATTTGACTGCTGGTTAGATCCCACCCAGCAGTCCCTGGGGAGAAAGACTGGGTGATCTGCTTCTTTAATGGTGGTGAGTTTGTGCCAAGAAATCTGGGCAGACTCCAGGTGTCATTACATGCCAAAGAACTGCCCCATTGGGTTTCCTAGGCTGGAGTCTTAAGGGGCAGATTGTCAGGTTTTCCCTTCCATCCAGTGGCCAGTGTGTTCTACCAGCATTTAACCACTGCTCCACCAGGGATCCTTCCTGTAAAGATTACAACTCAGAAAAGTCTATAGGGCAGTTCTACTCTGTCATATGGGATCAGCTTAAGTTGAAATCGACTCAATAGCACACATCAAGATTCATTAAAATTTCAAGATTCAAACAATTATTGGCTAAATATAGTGTTATTTCCTCTTTTGTCAACGGGAGCTCTGATTTTACAATGTCCAATATAAATATTTAATTTACTGTATGCAATGTTCATTGTTTAGGGTTCTCTTCTCTAACTTCTATGGAAGCACTCTACGTGACAAATGTAACCAGAGATGCACCATTTTTTCATTTAATGGTTATTGAGATATTAACTTTTCTATCTGATTAAAGTCACGACATCATAAAGAACAAGCATTATAAGCATTACATAACCTAACACAGACATCTATATGTGAACAATATATACTTACAGCACCAGTTTCATCTCGAAGTGTTGAAATTCTTCCACTCAGCAAACTTTACAAGGAAAATAAGATGTAGTTAGATTTTTAAAAGTGACTATAAACAAAGGTCCTAAATCTTTATCAATTCTCAAAGACCACTACAAATAACTCGTGCTATATCAAAGCATAAACTAAAATATTCCTTTAAACAGTTAACAATTTTACTTTTTAAAAATTTTAAACATTAATTTGACAACAAAACACACTATTTTGGAGAATACCAAACTGATTTATTTGCGTGATAACAGATTATATGAAATACCTGGAAAAAAAAGAATCTGGAATCCACATCAGCGTTTGTCTTGAGGTACTGAATCTGCAATTAAAATGATCTGGTATTATAAATGAGAACAAGATTTGAGGTTACAATGTAAAATGGCTTGCTTCTTTAATATCCTAATGACTTAAAAGCTGGCACATAGTTAAAGCTATTATCAACTATACTCATCAACCATATTAGATTTAATATTTAAAATTTTGTTATCAGCTCAGTTAAGAGTATCCAAGGAGCTATCAACAAAATCAAACAACTCATTGCCATACAAGGCTTCCCAAAGCACTGCTCTCCATTCAGCCAATGTGCTGGAGAGTCAACACACAGTATCTCCGGGTCGCGTTTCATCTCCACAGCAAATACAGACAAACAGGGAGTGTGCAATTCATGAAGGGGTTCCCTTCTGACTTCCCTTAAGAATTCCCTGAAGTCAGTTCTGCCCCATATAGGATACTTTTTTTAATGTATAATTTTAATAACTCTTATTACCAGTATTGTTATAAATAAGACCTTTATTATTTCAAGGCTGAAACATACATATAAACACTGCCGGTGAACATCTGAAAATGACAACATGAGCAAATAGTGCTGCAGCCCTATGTGTAATACAGCAAACAAAAGCAAGAGACACTCGGAGTGCAGTCCTAAGAGTGCACAGATGCTAAAGGTTAACTGTAATACAGCACAAATCAGGGCCCCTGCACTTTGCTTTCCCTGTCTAACATAGAAGTTCTTCTGCATAAGCTCACACAGTGCATGCTCAGTAACACTTTGTCTGTTTACAGCAGATAGAGCTTGTCATACCTAAAAATCTAAGTCTGAATCTTTTCTGACAGTACTGATGTTTTCTCTTTCCAAGTACTCTGGATTATGTTATCATTTTCTGAGCTCTCATTGTAGATTCATTTTACTTGCGTATAGTATATATAGTATAGGCAGTACATATTTAACATACATACTATTTAATGCAGTGTGGGACTATTTGCAACTTTTGCATTTATTCATTAAAACTCATACAGCAAATACACATACCACACACAGACACACACATACAATAGACACCACAGACGGGCTTTTAAAAGCTCATGGAAAAAGGAATTAAGATTATGCATTCCAAAGGAGGTAGAAGAGAAATCAGAGGAGGGGAGGGCAAGGTATTGGTGGTGGTTGGGGTGATAGGTGGTTTAAATTGTTAAATAAGAAATTGGTGACCTGAACTGTAAATTCCCACTTCACAATTTTAAAAAATTGTTTTCAAAAATGCAATTTTCCATGAACTTTTTAAAGCTCTTTTGCTGTATGTGTACATGTATATGTACACACACACACACACACACACACACACACACTTTAGATTAATTGCCACTTGATCAAACCAGCTAAGGGGGTTTTAATCAAAGTTTAGCTGTCTGGGACAGAAAACTAACAACCCATTTTAAATGGCATGCATTATAGGGCGTATCCAGTCCAGTTCTTGTCTCTCATAAGATGAATATTTTCATTTTAAGATTTATGTATAAATATGTTTTAGGATATTAAGAATTAAGTATAATATGTATGAGGATAAATCAAAATGGTTTCCCAGTGTATTAGTCTAGGTACTTTGGAGAAACAAATCCACAGCAACTCATATATAAGAGAGAATTTTATGTAAAGAAAAGGTGCATCACGAAAACATCCCAACCCAATGCTGCCCAAGCCCACAAGTCCAACATTAACCCATTAACCCAACACCAGTCCACAAAGTCCTCCACCTCACAAAACAGAGGCAATGATGCCGACTGTAGGAGGAAAGCTGAGTCCGTGAATGAACAAGCATCTCAGCACTAGCAGGGGTCTCCACACTGGCTGCTCCAGCACCCAGGGCTGCATCGGGATAGGTCAATCTTGCAAGCTGAAGCAGGGAACTGCTAAGGCAGCTGCACCCGGTGCAACCATCACAAAACAAGGGACCCCGAGAACTAGAAAGGCGAGGCTCACCACCCATTTATCCCTTCGCCTTTCAACCAGCCCCACATGTGATTATCGTCCAGGCTGGCACAATTAACTAACTCACCCAGCAAAATGCATTTAAACATGTCTCTGCCTTACTCCATTCCACCCTACAGCCTGATCAAAGACTGCTTTTCCCCCCAAATTCGAAGAACATTTAAAAGGAACACTATTTGAATCCAAACTGCCATTTTGAGATGATGTAAGTTGAAGAGCCAGCATAAACAGAAGGGCTAGACAGATGGGAAACAGTAGGGAACACACCTAGATGTGGGGAAACAAGTTTCACATTCTGAAATTTTTGTTAAAAGGTTTCTATTATTTTGTAGCAATTCTTTTCGACTTACCCTTGAACTTCTACTCTCTGCCTGCATCATTTTATTCTCATAGACAGAACTTAGACAACCTCAAGTCACATTTTATATACATGCTTTAGCATTACAGAAGATGCTGGGGTGTTGTTTTTTTTTAACTAAACAAGGTGAGAGAGTAACTATAGATAGTAGCACTGGATGTCATGTGCTGTCGCACTAAGAAACATGGCCTCACGATTCAGCAAAAAACAGCTTAAGGATGTTCCCATGGCTACCCCGTAAATACTGTATCACTATAGGGGATCATGATGCTTCTGCAGAGTAGGAATCCCAAACATCTCAGCAATGATGCCACTCCCTGTTCCAAGTACACAGGGCACTCAGGTACCTGAAGCAACGGTGGGCTTTAATTTCTGCAGGAAAGGTTCACGCCTCTACAATGATTTAAAAGCTCCGCGTGCCGCAAGTGATGGAGACGGAAAGCCATCTGGAGTAAAGGCACCATGCTCGGCCGAGCAGGTCACAGAAAGAGGAAGACAGTCTATCAACAAGATGGACTCACGCACGCAGTAGCTGCAACCATGGGCACAGGAGGAGGCAGTGTTTCGCTGTAAGTAGGGTCCCTGAGTTGGAACCAGGACAGTCTCCCAGCCACTGGACAACAGGGGTAGAGGGTTGGCTTGATCATTTCAAGCAAACCAAAACAAATCAGTCACTGCCATCATATCAAGTTGACTCTGCCTCAAAGCAACCCTGTAACCAAAACACAAACTAACTGCTGTCCAAGCAATGCTGACTCATAGAGACTTCTGTAGGTTTCCGAGACGGTAACTATTTATGGGAGCCCAGGGTCCAGACTTTCTCCCTCACAGGTGCAGGTGGTTTCGAACTGCTGACCTTTTAGTTAACCGCCCAACACTGAACCACTACACCAACAGGTTCCTGTGCTCATTTCAAAGTGAAGGCAAATTTACATAACAATACAGAACCAGTTGAGAGTTGTTCTCAAGTTCCTAAAGCAGGGACTTACTAACCTACTTTTAAGTCAATCACAATTAAAAACAAGTGTTAAGTATCTCAACTGGCTATACTGTTACTCTTCAGTATTACCACACCCTGACTGCCTACTCTTGTTTATTCTATTGTGTGTTTTTTGCATCTATAAATCCTTGGACGCATACATTTTCATATTTGGGGGGGTTAAAATCCAGTTCTTACATTAAGAAACCTATAACTTGTCTTCCATGGAGTGGATCTATGTAGCAGGAATAAACATGTAACTTCTTTAACTCAAAACGTTCATTTAGGGGCTGAAAGAAAGAGGGACAGATATGCAGAAAGAATAGGGTTGACTTCTCTAACACACATTTTAGGATTAAAATACTACATTTTTATCACTATATTCCACCTAGTTTTTCTTAAAATGTATACTTTAAACACTCGTTAAGAGCTTTAAATGTTGAAAATCTTTTATATTCTCCATACTTGTGAAAGATCCTAAACTCCAGAGGCCTTCATCCTTCCAAGCCTAAAACTCAGCTAGCCCCCCTTCAAAACAGAAGAAATAACCCTTTCTGAAAGGCGTGACTCAAACGTCACAGAAAAAAATCAACAAAAACTGTTTTGTTTTGTTTTCTTTTGAACAAGCTGAATCATAGGCTTCTAAGAATGGAGCGGAAGGCCCGCAAGGAGAAGCAGAGAATCGCTCAGTGTGGGTACTCCGCGTGCCCACACTGTGCCAAGACCCCGAGCTTCCCAGAACCAACTGTTCACACCGCCGTTTCTGGACAGGCTGTCCTAAAAGTTGAACAAATCCTTCCAGAAACTCTGAAAATAAATGAGCACATGTCTGCAAATACACTGCTCTGCCTCCGCGGACATTCTGAGGCTACAAACAGAAGAACACAACACTCGTGCGGGCTGCAGCCTGCCGCCACCTCGCTGGCCCCAGAGCAAGGGAGGCAGGTTCATTGGCAACCGCCAAACCACAAGGCCCGCTGGTACAAAACAGAGTCCTGAAACCTTCTCTACGGTCAGCAAGCTGATGCCTTCGAAATCACGAGAAGGGCAAAGGTGGGCATTCCTAGGCTCAGCCCCCCGGACCCCGCTCTAGGTAACCCCAAGAGGCCCTTCTGCGCCCCCTTCCCGGAGTAGACGCGACACCAGCTCCGAACGGGCCAGCTTTCGGGCCGCTAGCAGGGCCTGCGCTCCCTCCCGGCTGCACTCCCAGGCGCCCGCCGCCC